TGGCCCCATAGGGAGCTCCACCGAAGGCCCCAGTGGCAGTGTTCGCATGCAGTTCCACCCTTCTTTCGGCACACCCCTCACAGGGATTGTGGCCCCATAGGGAGCTCCACCGAAGGCCCCAGTGGCAGCCTTCGCATGCAGTTCCACCCTCACTTCGGCGCACGCCTCACAGGGTTCGTGGCCCCATAGGGAACTCCACCGAAGGCCCCAGTGGCAGCGTTCGCATGCAGTTCCACCTTCATTTCGGCGAATCCTTCACAGGGTTCGTGGCCCCACAGGGAGCTCAACCGAAGGCCCCAGTGCAGCGTTCGCGTGCAGTTCCACAATCAGTTCGGCGCACCTCTCACAGGGTTCCTGGCCCCATAGCGAGATCCACCGAAGGCCCCAGTGGCAGCGCTCGCATGCAGTTCCACCCTCATTTCGGCGCACCCCTCACAGGGCTCGTGTCCCCATAGGGAGCTCCACCGAAGGCCCCAGTGGCAGCGTTCGCATGCAGTTCCACCCGCATTTCGGCGCACCCCTCACAGGGTTCCTGGCCCCAGAGGGAGCTCCACCGAAGGCACCAGTGGCAGCGTCGCATGCAGTTCCACCCGCATTTCGGCGCACCCCTCACAGGGTTCGTGGCCCCACAGGGAGCTCCACCGAAGGCCCCAGTGGCAGCGTTCGCATGCAGTTCCACCCTCATTGCGGCGCACCCCTCACAGGGTTCGTGGCCCCATAGGGAGCTTCACCGAAGGCCCCAGTGGCAGCGTTCGCATGCAGTTCCACCCTCATTGCGGCGCACCCCTCACAGGGTTCGTGGCCCCATAGGGAGCTCCACCGAAGGCCTCAGTGGCAGCGTTCGCATGCAGGCCCCAGTGCCAGTCGTACCTTCCAGGAGGCCGAGGACCTCGTGGAAACAGAGAGAGGTATATATATATATAGAGAGAGAGAGAGAACAAACCACATAAACAAAGAGAGTAAGAGAGAGAGAGAGAAATAATACATATACCGATAGGACCACCCTACGGGTGATAAGGAGGTTGGGAGGCGGGAAGGGAAATGTTGCCGATTTGCAATGGTTCTGAGTTCGTTGTTGGTTTCTTCACTTGTCCGATCGATCATCCTACTTCTATATCGAAACATATATTCCGAATACCAGTCGATATATAGATTTTCATATCTATATATATACAGACATACATACACACATACCGATATATCTGTCTGTGTATATACATATATATATATGTATGTATTTAGATATGCTCCGACCTATCAGTAGATCTAGCAATGTCTCTATCGATATATATATATATGTGTATATATATACAAGACTGCAGTGGCGCTTCGCGCCATGCACCTTGGTCCTTGAAGTTTGGTATGCAGGCGGAATAGCAGGAAGGTCAAGCCGACAATCTGGCGATAACTCTTGGTTGCCTTTTCTGGCATCGCCGCTATAATAATGTCATTCGTTATCCTTCCTCCATGCTTCTTTTTCTTTACTTTCGCCATGCCCTGTGCATTCTCCCCATCCTCCTCAGCTCTTTTTTGCGGAGGCTCCTCCTTGGAGAGCCTCTAGGGGCCTCACAAAAGTTGTTTCAGGCTTTCTTAATGCTTCCAACCGCGGTCTCCCTGAACGACCGAAACACGATTTGGAATTCTTCGGAGGGTGCCTTTGGGCCATCTTGGGCCGCCATGGGGCTCTCTGAGGGCCATATTGGACCCGTGTTCTGCCGTTTTGGGGCTCTCTTGGACTGCCTGGAAGCCCCTTCGGATGGTTGTGGGGCGATTTGGGAGCCTCCCAGGCGGCTTCGGACGCCCAGAAGACCGCCGTCTTGGAGCGTCGGGAAGCCGAAAAGAGGAGAACCCTAAAATTTACCAAAAACCTAGAGAAAAAAAAATGAATTTTGCCTCGGGGGGCCTTCCTGGGAGTGCTCTTGGAGGCCTCTTTGGGGCCGTCCTGGAGGCATCTTGGGCCATCTTGAGGTCACGTCGGTCACTCTTGGAGCGCTCTTGTGCTGTCTTGGGGGTCTCTGGGACGTCTCCGATAACCCCCCTGATCGCCCTAGGTGTGCTGGGAAGGTTTGGCAAAACGCCATGTGAGGCCCGGTGGCCGCTTCGAGGCCCGTTTGGAGGGTCCCAAAGCCCCAGATCCTGGGAGTCCGGTTTGGGGGGGGGGACGGGTTTTCCCCCCGCCCGGGCTTACAACAAAAATTGAGGAAAACGAATATCGGAGATTGGGGGGTGAGATCGCAGTGCAACGGAGTCCCCCCACCGGGAAATCGAGTTTCGAGTTCGTGCTCGTGCCGTGCGTGCGGGCGAGGCGAAGCTGCGTGGACCAGCGAGAGCAATTCACTCTGCTGTCGCTAGGGGTCCGCCAACACAAATGTTTCCCCCCCCCCCCGGTGTTGTCAAGCGGTGGCCCGCATTGTCCCGTCGGTTGCTCGTCATGGTTGCTCATCATGGTTGCTCATCATGGTTGCTCATCATTGTCCCGCTGGTTGCTCATCATGGTTGCTCATCGGTGTCCCGCCGGTTGCTCATCATGGTTGCTCATCATTGTCCCGCCGGTTGCTCATCATGGTTGCTCATCATGGTTGCTCATCATTGTCCCGCCGGTTGCTCATCATGGTTGCTCATCATTGTCCCGCCGGTTGCCCATCATGGTTGCCCATCATGGTTGTTCATCGACGACGCCAGGCAGTGCCAGCGTGACTCCCAAGCCAGGATAGGAGAGGTCCGGACGCACGCACCAGGCACTGCCAGTGCACCCATCGTCGACTGGGACGAAGTGGGCTGAGTGCCGCGTCGCGCAGCGGCAAACCGAACGACACAAGTCGCCCAAGCGAAAGAACAAAGAAAAAGCCGCCACGTCATCCACACCATCATCGCCCATCAGCACCACGTTCATCACAGTTGGCGTCATGAGCCACCCCCCCCCCCCCTCCCCCCACCCCCCCACAACCTCCTTATCACCCGCAGGGTGGTCGTATAGGTATATCTATATATACTTCTATCTATCCACGGGCACAACCATCGGGACAACGACGACCATCGGGACAACCGTCGGGACAAACCATCGGCACTCGGGGCAACCGTCGGGACAACCATCGAGACAACCATCGGGGCAACCCCAGGGACAACCCGAGGGAGAACCCGATGGGGCCGCGCCCAGCCGGGGGGGCGGCGCGGGCGACCTTTTAGGTTTCATGGGGCCTCTACAAGTGCAGGAAGTCGCGCAGCTCCGCCTCGCACGCACGACACGAACCGAAACTGGAACCGATTTCCTGGTCGGGGTCAGTTCCGTTCACGCCCCCAACCTCCGATACATATATGTATATATATAAGGGGAGAGAGAGAGAGAGAGTGAGGGTGAGAAGAAAAAAAAAGAAAGATAGAGAGAGATAGAGAGAGAGAGAGAGAAAAAAACAAAAAAATAACACGAGAGATGCGGAACAGGCTCCCACGTTCTGCCGCCTGCGTGGTGCTCGGCATCCTGTCTGGCGGGGAGGGTTGCACGGTGCGCTGCTGCGGCGCAGTCAGGAGCCGCGATGCGGTCTGATGTCTCGGGGGGAAGAACGGCACATAACAATGCTCCGCCATCGGGGACGCGTGTCCCAGTGCGGCGAGAAAGTTCCGCCATTGCGCCACGCCGTCGGGGTACAAGCTTTTCAGCCGCCCCAGCACGGACAAGTTGATTTGATAGTTGTCGTCGTCCGATAATTGTGGGTGCCGACAGTTGCATTTTACCGTCGGCGTGACCATCTCCCAGGAAAGGAGGACACAGTGACACGCTTCGCGCATCCCCGTCGGAGCCCGTCCAGATCCGAGTCCTGGGTGTGCTGTCGTGAGCTGCCAGGTGGAGGAGCGTTCAGCAAATAGACGGGGCATCGTCATGGCCGGAGCCATGAAATATCCAGATTTCAAGGGTCTCTCTTCTTCTGTCAGCACGTCCCCCGGCCCCTCCTCGTCCGCACACTTGCCTCGGGCCACGAGGCGATACGCCCCTCATCCTGGCCTTCCTCTCCGGCCCACCCGAGTGGAAGATCAAGAAGAGTGAGATTTTTCGTGGCAGGTAGTCCGATCTTCCGCCCGGAAGCGGCATGCTTCACGTATGTTTTGATCGCTGCGGCTGCCCGAGCGCAGCTTACGAGTTCTCGAGTTGGGAGTCAGTGATTCCACTTACCGGAACAGGAGCATACGGCAGATTCGCGTCGATATCGAACGATGTATGTTATCGGGAAGCTGCGATGGGTTCAACGATCCACGCGCTGTCAGAAATCAACGCGGACGTCATCGCGACGTGAATTTGCCGTAGGTGCCTTAGGGGTTGGGCCATGGACGTCTCGCTGCAGCCAGGTTCCGCAAGATTGGTTTCCGCCAGGTGCGAAGTCGAGTCGACTGCTCTGCCAGCTAGGGCTTTGGAGGCAGCCACTTCTGGTGCTCTGAGCCTTGCTCTGAGCCGATGAGTTTCAAAACCAGAGACTACAACGTAGTAGCGATTCCGCATGGCTCCTTTGTCAATTAATGGGTTTGTTTGGCGCGCTTCGGGTATAAACCAAACAGACGAACTCATGCGTTGGTGCGCACGTTGATTCATTACCCAATTGTGAGCTAGAGTTTCTCTTGGCGCTCGCTCAAATAATTGCACGATGTATTGCTGTGCTGATGTGTATTGGGCAAACGCTCGTCAATAGTCTGCGAACTCGTTGTTTGATCTATGAAGCGAGCGCGATCGCTGCAACACTACCACTTCTTGAAAGGTTGTGCACTCGGTTTCCAGTTCTGTACATTATGTGTGAGAGGTGCTCGTGTGCTTTTTGAAATGCCCACAGCTTGGTCACAGTACTGCAAGTTGTAGTGTGTGCCTTCGCTTGATGTTTGCCAGACGAGACCCTTGCTCTCCGTGACAGCCCCGATACCACGCAGTATGGAAGGGTATTCTCGGATGCGGAGGTTCTTTTGCAACGTTGGCTGCAGTGGTAATAGCTTATCCAGCGCACCGCGCTGTGCAAGCGATGACTCGACCCAGCCGCGTGGTGGAAGGGCAGGGCCTCGAGCAAGCATTTTTTGAGGTCGTAATCGAGAGCAAATCGCAGAGACGGTCGGAAGCACATGGTGAGTGCATGTTTTGTCCCAGGGCGCGACCGGAATGGTCTGGGTTGGAAGGTAAGAGAGCGATGAGGATGTAGTGAGAGAGCGTAACAATCGATTATTAGATGGTTGGTGGTTATTTTGGGAACGGTTCGGAAGGGTCTGGTGGGGCGGGCGAGATGCATGGATAGCGTTTGGCACATACAGGAGAGAGCGACAAAGTTTGAGAAACCGGCCACTTGCCTCAGTGAGTGAAGTTGTGATGCGTTCGGGCACAGTTGAGACGCATTGGCACTCACATTCAGTTTTCGGGTGATTGACAGAAGTTGAACAAGTTGATGGTGAGAATATATTGTTGCATATTGTGCAGTTGTTGTTGGGTTAGCAGACCATGCTCAAGTGAAAGAAGTGTACGGCCATACGCTTGGAGCCTCATTGCAAGGGCACGATACCTCATGAGCTTCAACGTGTGTACACTCAGATGGTTTTGACAAATCCTCGACCTCGCAAAACTTGGCGAGAGAGGGTCATACGTCTTGCCGCAAGTTCTACGCCTCCTGCTCCCGTCAGCCCTCATGCCTCTTTCCTCCCACTCATTGTGCCATTTCTTGAATAGGTGTATGTCCGTCCCTCTTCATTCGGACGGCGCCCCCCAGACCCTTCATTGGCACCTGGAGGGGTCAGGCAAAAGGAACGTTCTTCCTTGCCAACCTCGCCTTGAGCGGCATCTCGATCATCCTGGGCATCGCCGCCAACGGGCACGGACCGGTGGCCGTGGCCTTCCCCGTGGGAGTGGGCTCGAACTTGTTGAGCAACATGGTGTTGCAGGACGTTTGGTTGAAACACCATTTGGCCCACAGTCCAGACCCTTCAACAAGAAAGATCTATGGTTCGGAAGGGGTTCGCGGTTGCTTAGGTCCTACCATGGTTGTTCTTGGAGCGCTCCTCGTGCACCCACGCGCTTTGGGGGTCAAAAGGGGCCGTTGGTTATTGTGAGGCATGGGGGTGAGATATAGTTGAAGCGCAGTCGCCTCACTGGGAATCGCAGTTCGCTTCGTGTCGTGTCTCACGCGCGTGCAGGCGAGGCGAGGCGAAGCTGCGCGAGTTCCTGCCCTGGTAGCGGCCAAACCAGGCCAATATGAGTCGCCCCCCCCTCTGTGTAACATGGTTGTGTGTATGTCTTTGTATATGATTGTTGACGTGGCTTCGAGGTAATATCACGCGCCGGCGTGCTGTCTACGCACACCACATGTTGCCGAATGTGCACAAAGACGTTGCTCCCAGTCGATGCTGGGAATCGCGAAGTATACGAAGAACATGCGCGTGGGGACATTGGTATTGGCCAGTGCGGTGATGATCCTTCCTGACGTTGGAGGGGGTTGCTGGCAGAGACTCGCTGACATGGAATGGATAGAGAGAGGGAGAGAGAGAGCGAGAGGGGCTGGTGCGATAGCTCTTCCTGTGAATGGATGTATGTCGTGGTGCTCTTGTTGTCATTTAGTGGAGCAGCATAAACAACGGCTCGGCGGTGCAATGGCAACGTACCCTGAAAGTGTCGGTCCACCGGGTAGTCAGTTTCAGTTATATTCGATGTGTATGTTTGCGAGTCGCGTTCTTGATAAGGGAAGCAACCAAGGCGTGTGGAGGGCAGAGGACATATTCCACCTCATCCACCTCTCAAGACCCCCTTTCCCTCCCACATCGCTCCCTCCCTCATCCCGCATCCCTTCCCTCCTCCCATCTCGTCGTTCCTCCGTCCATCTTCCTTTCTGCCACATCCCTCCTCCCTCTCACTCCTGCCTCCTCAGCCCCTCCTCCCATTCCGCCTCCCCCTCTCTCTCTTGTCCATTCCCCCGCGCGCTCCGTGGGCCAGAGGCATGTGGGACCTCCTGTTCTCCCCCCCATACCCGATCTCTGGATCGCCCTCATCTGCATGCCTTATTCCTCCTTCCGATCATCATTCTCCTCCTCCCCTCGCGCGCTGTCCTTCGGGTTAACTCTTTGGGGCCGTCAAGTGGCGATCCACTTGCTGAAACTCCAGCATGCAGCGCTCGCTCCATGGAGGTCTGGCGATCCACGCCTCCGCGCGCCCACTCGCCGATCATCGACTCGTTGTTCTCGAGCGCCCGAAATCGTTGCATTTCGCAGAGACCTTCGCACACAGGATGATGTTTGCCTGCTGCAAGACGTGGCATCCCCTCATCGTCCGCTCGGCAGGCATCAAAGCGCTGTGGCCTTTGAGCAACAGCAAGTTGAGCTGTTCATTGTTCAAGGCGTGGAAGGCCTCGCGCAACCCCGAAGGCAAACAGGCTATGATCGATTTGTTCACCAACCAACCGCTGCAGAGATACTGGTTCGTCACACAGCGCACCTCGAGCAGCCGTTAGGGTTCCACTGGATGTGGCTCACACAACGCTTTAGGTCAGCAATTGTCGGTTCCTCCGTGAAGTTCGCGCCGTCCAAGAGGCGTCTGCGATGAGGCATTTGGCCCAGGAGGTGCCCCGCGGTAGCGTCGTGGCTGGTGGCCCAGGGCTCGCACACGCTGAATTTCGAGCCGATCAAGTCCTTCGAGGGCCCAAATGTGCGGTCGCGCGCGAGCAGCGCGCGCGCGAGCTCCGAACTGGCCCTGGCCAAAGCGAAGACCCGCCAGAAAGGCCGAACGCACTGCTGAACGCAGCCGGGCAACCAGAATGAGGCCTGGTGTCGCCGCGTAGCTGTGACATCCTCTCACAGGATATGATAGGTCTGCACAGCTGTGCGGGCCATGCTCGCGTCAACACTATGTTTTCACGCGAGACCGAAGAGGGATCGACGTGGCAACGTAATTCGATCAACCTTTCAAGAGGCATCTGGCCCATCCCGCCACGGTTCGGGGTTGTGGGCCACACGCCTCTTGGATGCCCAGTAGGGTATCTGGAGTCGCTCTCGGGGGCCTCTTCGAGGGTTTTTGTTTGGAGCCCGGGGCTTCTTCGGAAACCTTTTGGGGGCTTCCACGTGGCCTCTCTCGCGTCATAGGGGTTCGTGGGGCATGCTGGGAGCCTGGGTGGCATTACTTGGGGGAAAGGGATCCCGCGGCCCCTTCTCCCCCCTTCTTGGTGCGCCGCCGGTGGCGTTCAACGTTGAGCGCCTCCAGCGATTTGGCCAATCGTTCAACGAACGAACGTTGCGGAAACAGCCGATCGTTCATTCAAGGTGCAACGATCCCCGCGGCGTCGTTAACCAACGCTGGGGGCGGCACGACGAGTACCTTCCGTATCCTGGGCAGTCGTGATTTTTTCACAACCATCTTGTGGTGTTGGGTCTGAGTTTTGAAGAAACGGTCCCCGCGTTCTCCCCTCCTCCTCTGCCCCCTCCTCCTCTCCACCGTCCGCATGCGTCCCGCACACCCAGTACAGCGTTTCGTGGCCCTCCTCCCCTCCCCACCCAGTACAACGCTCCGTGGCCCCATAGGGAGCCCCACCGAAGGTCCCAGTGCTACCGTCCGCATGCGTCCCGCACACCCAGTACAGCGTTTCGTGGCCCCATAGGGAGCTCCACCGAAGATCCCAGTGCTACCGTCCGCATGCGTCCCGCACACCCAGTACAGCGTTTCGTGGCCCTCCTCCCCTTTCTCCCTGCGTTTCACCCACCCAGTACAGCGCTTCGTGGCCCCACAGGGAGCCCCACCGAAGGTCCCAGTGCTGCCGTCCGCATGCGTCCCGCACACCCAGTACAGCGTTTCGTGGCCCCGTAGGGAGCTCCACCGAAGGTCCCAGTGCTACCGTCCGCATGCGTCCCGCACACCCAGTACAGCGTTTCGTGGCCCTCCTCTCCTTTCTCCCTGCGTTTCACCCACCCAGTACAGCGTTTCGTGGCCCCATAAGGGAGCCCCACCGCATGCGCCCCGCACGCCCAGTACACCGCTTCGTGGCCCCATAGGGAGCCCCACCGAAGGTCCCAGCGCTACCGTCCGCATGCGTCCCGCACACCCAGTACAGCGTTTCGTGGCCCTCCTCCCCCTCCTTCTTGCGTTTCACCTACCCAGTACAGCGTTTCGTGGCCCCATAGGGAGCCCCACCGAAGGTCCCAGTGCTACCGTCCGCATGCGCCCCGCACTCCCAGTACAGCGTTTCGCAGCCCCATACGGAGGCCCACCGAAGGTCGCAGCGCTACCGTCCGCATGCGTCCCGCACACCCAGTACAGCGTTTCGTGGCCCCATAGGGAGCTCCACCGAAGGCCCCAGTGCGCCCGTCCGCATGCGTCCCGGAAGCCCAATTTGACATTTTCACCCACCCAGTGCAGCGCTTCGTAGCCCCATAGGGAGCTCCACCGAAGCCCCCAGTTGGACGGTCCGCATGCGTCCCGGAAACCCAATTTGGCATTTTCATTCAGTAGAGCGCTTCGTGGCCTCATAGGGAGCTCCACCGAAGCCCTCAGTGGGACCGTCCGCATGCGTCCCAGAAACCCAATTCGGCACACCACCCACACAGTACATCGTCCCCCCCCCGCCCAGTGCAGCGTTTCGTTGCCCCATGGGGAGCTTCACCGAAGCAGATATTCACAATTACGGTACCCACAACTGCATATGGTTGGGACCTTCGCCAGGATAATTTTTTGTCCGGTGTGGTTTTTCTCGATAGCCTCTTGTGCCGTCGCCGTCTTGGTGGGGCGATCGTGGGGGTATCATGCGCAGTCTTGGACTGCCAGAAGCACGACATGGAGAGAGCGCTAAGATCATATTTCAGATGCAAACAAGTTGCAAAGAAAATTAACGAGTTGGGTCTCTTGGAGCCCTCTTGTGAGCTTCCTTGGCAAGTCTCAGAGACTTCATTGGGCCGTCTGGAGCTCGTGTTGGGGCCTTCCTGGGCCGCCCCTAGCTCCTGCAGAACCGTACCCTTGTGGGATCCGTGGCCCTCTGGCCTCGCCGCAGAAACATCGCGCGGCAAACCTGGGGGGTCACGCGGGAAGTTCCGGAAGTTTAGGCAAAGGGCGTATTGATTATTGAAAGTTATTCGTTATTCGAATACCCGGTGCAGAGGTGAGTCACTAGTCTATACTGACTCTCCAGTGCAGAGGTGAGTCACTAGTCTGTAATGACTCTCCACACGTTGCCTATGGCACGGAGGCGGGTACAAGTAAGACGTTCGGTCGCAGGACACGCATGCAAGGCAAAGGCACGTCACGACAACGAGCAAAACCAAACACACGTCCAAATCGACGGGGCGCAGCACTTGCCGCTGGTTGGGGACATGAGTGCAATCACATCACGAATGCGACGCAGAAGACGAAATGCCAAGCACAAGCGCAACACGATCGTAAGGCACGGCGCGACATGCTAACCACGAGAGACAAGCGGCGCAACGCTGCTTGAACTAAGTATCCCCCGTCCGTCCACTCACCCCCGTCACCTGCTCCTCTGCGTCTTCCTCGCACCATCTTTCACTGCCGTGTTGCATTTGCGCATCGCCCTTTTCCACTGTCGGCCCAGCGGCGGGTCCACATGCATTTGGTTTAACATGTTATGTCAGTTGTTGTGTGTTTCGTTTCGGGCCGATTGTGGTCGCGTGCCGCTGCAGCGCAACTGTTACGTTACAGTTGTGGTATTCTTCTCGTCGATCATCCCCCGACCTTACCGCAATCTTCGATCCCCATTCGTTCACGGATCCCCTTCGACATCCGATATTTCCCAACCATCTTGTGGTGTTGGGTCCTCGTTTTGAAGAGACGTCGCCCCGCGTTCTCTTCTCCTCTCCTCTTCCCCCTCCTCCTCCCACTCTTCCCTCCTCCTCCCCTTTCTCCTTGCGTTTCATCCACACAGTACAACGTTTCGTGGCCTCATATCAGGGGGCCCCACCTACGGTCCCAGTGCTACCGTCCGCATGCGTCCCGCACACCCAGTACAGCGTTTCGTGGCCCTTCTCCCCCTCCTCCCTTCGTTTCATCCACCCAGTACAAAGCTTCGTGGCCCCACAGGCAGCCCCACCAGTGCTACCGTCCGCATGCGTCCCGCACACCCAGTACAGCGTTTCGTGGCCCATAAGGAGCCCAACCGAAGGTCCCAGTGCTACCGTCCGCACGCGTCCCGCACACCCAGCACAGCGCTTCGTGGCCCCATAGGGAGCTCCACCGAAGGTCCCAGTGCTACCGTCCGCACGCGTCCCGCACACCCAGCACAGCGTTTCGTGGCCCTCCTCCCCCTCCCTGCGTTTCACCCACCCAGTACAGCATTTCGTGGCCCCATAGGGAGCCCCACCGAAGGTCCCAGTGCTACCGTCCGCATGCGTCCCGCACACCCAGTACAACGTTTCGGGGCCCCATAGGGAGCCCCACCGAAGGTCCCAGTGCTACCGTCCGCATGCGTCCCGCACACCCAGTACAGCGATTCGTGGCTCCATAGG